TTCTCCCTCCCTCCCTCCCTCCCTCCCTCCCTCCCTTTCTCTCTCTCTCTCCTCTCTCTCTCTCTCTCTCTCTCTCTCTCTCTCTCTCTCTCTCTCTCTCTCTCCCTTCTCTCTCATTCCTCCATGTCAAGTAAAAACAGATACACTGTAGCAAGCTCCGGGAGGCAGACATCATCTGGGACAGGGAAGCCACACTGTTAGTTATTACTCTTTCAGCCTCAGCTTCTTCATCTGAAAACATGAGTTCAACCCTCCCTCCTTGATCAGTTTTTGCTGGAATTTGAAGGAATGAGGAATTGGGCTGCCAGGCACAGAATGGGGCTTCATCCTGCCTTTTATTGGCAGCATGCTCTTGGCTGCAGTTGGATGGGAGAGCTACGGTTGGGTTCCAGTTGGAGATCTAGATGAACATGACCACGTTGCTGTACAGCTGCATTACCTCAGAGAGAGACCTTCTCTAGGCTTTAGTGGACCCTGGTGGATAAAATCTGAGTGAGTTCTTAGACATTGTCAGCCAAGCTCTCTCCTCATTCCAGGTCACATGGCTCAAACACACAGATAGATCCTAGAGAGTGAGGAGAGAAGCAGGAACATTGACACAAAGTTCCCTGTGGTTCCCAAATCCAGTCCACAAGGAAAGCCAAGTGCATGCCCAGAAGATCTCCCCAGATACAACCAACCCCTTGTCAGAGAGTCAAAGCTCCCTGCCCAGATCCGACCCCAGCAAAGCAAACTGGCTCTGCAGCTTTCAGTCACTGGGATGGGAACAAAGGCAATTGGTCCAGAGGGCCAGGCCCCCAGGCAAGTCAGGAGCTGTCTGAAGGAGTTCCCCTACTCCCCACTCCAGGAGAATGAGGTCCTTTGTCCCCCACAGGCTCTTGTCTGGCTGGGGCTCTGAGCAAGGAGGGTAGCCTGGAGGGGTTTTTAGAGCCCTTTAAGCAGCTTTCCCAAGGGAAAGGGCTGCAGGGGTGTCTGGGTGTCTGGATGGCTCTGGGTGGGGCCAAAGCAAGCTTCTTACTGCTGCAAAGCCAAGGTCCTGGGGCAGCAAAGGGTGGCCATGGGTCTTGGAGACCTCTGGGTTCTTATTCAGCAAAGGGTGGCCATGGGTCTTGGAGACCTCTGGGTTCTTATTCCAACTCCCCTTCATCCTCCCTACTTCTTATCTTGAGTGCTCCCACCCCTTGATCTTCCTTCGCTCCTCTGTCTCCCTCTGGCCTCTTGCCTTGCTTCTTACCCCATGCTCACTGTCACTCTGTCTGTCTTTGCAGGTACAGGCTATGGGTGGACAGCTGCTCAGAAATGTTCGGCGGCCTAGACATATGTGCTGTCAAGGCTGTCCACAGCAAGGATGGCAGAGATTACATCATCGAGGTGAGGGGTGGAGCAGGGTGGTCCAGCCTGGACCATCTCAGCAGGAGAAACTCCAAGCTGACCCCCAGCATGGCAGCCATATCCTGGCTCCTGGCCTACCATATGCAGCTCATGGCATAGTGAGCCACTGCCAGAGGTATCTGCCCCATGCCTCATGCAACCACCTCAGCTGCAGCAGCAGTGTGAGCCTTCCTGCTCAACACTCTGACCTCAGAGTTCAAAACTCAGGGCACAGTTTTCCTCAGCCCGTAAGGCCAAGAGTCCACAAGATTCCGTGCCAGTGTCCAGTGTCCTCGGTGTTTGAGGGCATGTCATGACTGCACTTCCCTTACCACGTGCCAAGGTTTCACCCTTAAGTTCTTTCAACAAACATGGGCTTCAGGGATCCCTTAGGCACAGTCTTAAACACAACAGAATTTGCAGACTGAAAGAGAAGATTAAAAAAAAAAAAAAAAAAAAGCAGACCATTGTTAAGCAAAACGATACCATTGTACAGAGTGTGGCTTAAGGGACAGATGCAGCTACCAGAAATTAGAATAGAATTCTAAGAGATGTTCACAGATGGGCACTGGGACCCAGAACCACTCTAAATACCCTTTGGCTGCCTGTCATCTCTCCAATCCCTTCCTACCCTCCTCAGGGGTTCCTGCTCCTCTCTTCCCCAGCTTCCAGCCTCCAACACTTCTGAATCTTTAACCTGAAACACACTTGTGGCCTCCGGGCTCCCTCCAATCCCAGCTACCCAGCTCCTCAGTCACATGTGGCCCTTTAAGTTCATTCCTTCCTTCCATGAGGCTCAGTCTTCAACACATAAGGGAGAAATGGGCTGACACTGGGCCAAGACACATGAGGAAGTCCTGTACCCCCTGCCCCACAGCTGCCCCTCCACAGGTGTGGGCTGTTACTGACAGGAACATGGCTGGGGTGACCACAGTAGCCAGCCAGTCCTCCAGTCCCTCATGTCTGCCCCACTGCCCAAAGACCAACAGGCAGACAGAACCAGGTAACTGAATGGGTGGGAGGATGGCACTTCAGGAAGGCATACCACCAGGTCAGGAAAGAGCTTCCTTGCAGTGGGGGCCAGGAGCCTAGGCCAGAGACAGTCTCACTCACCAGGTGAGTGGAGAACCTCTTCACCTGGGACATCAACAGCTCCTGGCAAACCACCCTGCCTCCTTTCCTCACTAGGACATTAGACATGACTCTGGTTTGGGCTCACACATGCATTTCTTCACTCTGGGCACTGGGCTCTAAGCCAGATGAACAGGTCTCAGATGTGGCAGGAGAGCAGGAGGGCTGCTATCCTAATAGGAATGAGGACCGGGGGACAGGAGAGATGGCTTATAGTCAAGAGCTCTCATTGCTCTTGCAGAAGACGTAGGTTTGGTTCTCAGCATCCACATGGTGGCTCATGGCCATCCAGAATATGCATACACATACATACATGCAAGCAAAACACTCATAAAACAAAATAAATAAATCTTTAAAAGGTGAAAAGAAGAATATGGAGTGATTCCCTCCTCTCTTGATTCAGCACCACACACACATATACATGTGCTCACACATACACTCACACGCAGACACACAAACCAGTCACACACAAAAAGACACATACACAGACAGACAGACACACACACACTTACACACACACACACACACACACACACACACACACACACACACACACACAAAGTTCTGGTGTCTGAGATCCCTCCACTTTCACAAAAAGCCATCTATACCCAAGAGGCCCCAGTTCCAGACACTCAGAGGTGGGGGAGTCAGAAATTAAAGATGCTTCACATTTTAAAACAAACAAAAAAGCCAGTTTGGGTCTTCTAAACACAAGAAAACAACTTTTCAAAAATGTTCCAGAAAAATCTCAAACAAATAAAAAAAGATGGCTTTCAGATTTGGGTTTTTTCCCTCAGAAACACTAGAGAATTGTTTTCCTTTGGGGTTTGGGATGGGATCAGGAAGAGAAGGAGCCTCAGAATAGAAAATGTATTTATCCCAGTAAGGGAGAAAGAGGCAGCAGAGATCCAAACACAATGTCTTCCAGCCACTGCTCTGTGAGAGCACAAGGTTTGTGCGGCATGCTCCGTGAGAGTGCTCAGGGGACACCCTAAAGCTCCTCTCCTCTGACCTGGCCCAGGGGATGACCTTGCTCACTGGGAAAAGCTGTTTCCCTGGGGAAAGGGAGTGTCCACTTCCTTTGGCTATGTCCACTGTGGGGACTCCAGCTCCTGACCTCAGGTTCCCTGTCATCCTTTTTCCACCGGTGAGCATTCTACCAAAAAGCTACATCTCCAGCCCTGCAGAGTGCTCCTCTGAGATAGAGCTGGTGTCATCTATACCTGGTTCTTAGAGCAGTGCCCCAAATATCATCAGTGCTCAGTGAAACTGTACTGTCAGGGCCTTCCCAGGGTGGCCAGGGCTACCCCTTCCTCCAAGACACAGGCCATCCCTGGCTTCTTGGGCTTAGCAATGGCAAAGTTCTGGGACTAAGCTTTCCAAACAGACAGTTAGGTGAGCCAGCAAAGACACAGGTACAGAGGGATCCTGGGAACTTGTTTGGTCCTGGAGGGTCTGGAAGGAAGAGCTGACTAGGTGTGTCATGATGGATAAGGAGTTAGCCAGGTGAAGGGTGGACACAGAGAGATGGAGACATGATCTGGACATGAGACTGTATGGTTACCCCAGAGCTGGCCAAAGAGGGTTTGGCAGGGGGAGGCAGGTGACAGAGGAAGGCTGGATTCCTGCAGGAGAGGAGAGAGGCAGCCAACACAGCCATTACAGGTCTACTAAGACAGTCTTCCTTTAATATTGTGAGCTGCCTGTGCCTAGTGATCACGTGGTCCACTGGCTCTCGTCTCTGAACCTCAGTTTCCCCATCTATTACAAAAGTAGACTGGGCCAACATGACCTTCCAGGACTGCCACCCCTCTTCCTTAAAAACAGCCTGGTTCCCAGAGTATGAGTTTCATTTTGGGCCTGCATCCTGCCGGGGCCCCAGAAAACCACTTGTCCTCTTCTGTCTTCTCCATAAAGCCTGGGTCACTTCCAGCCTGGTCAAATGTTTGGTTGTTGTGATGGAGCCCCCACCGTTACTGTTTCCAGCTCTGAGGACATCGTCAACTTTGGGCCAGAAGAGAGGGGCCAGTCCCAACCCTGGGAGGAAGCTGGGGTGGGAAACGAGGGGGCGGAGACCGACGCCCCAGTGAAAAGTACAGAAAAGGTCAGCACGTGCTCCCCCAGCCCTGGTCACGTTGCTGGACTCCAGCGTGTGGAGGCCGAGTTGAAATGAATCCAGAGTCTGTTGAGAAGGACCTGGAGAGAACTGGGTGTCTACTGGTGGCCCAGACAGCAGGAAGGGCCCAGCTGGGCTGTTTGCGTGGGTGATATTGCCATCTAGTGGCCATTCTGTCATGAGCCGAGCGTCAACACTCCTGGAACAGAAAGCCCAAAGGCCAAGCCATCTTAATTCAGGGTCCTTCAGCCTCCTTTCCCTCCCGCGCAGGTCATGGACAGTTCAATGCCCCTGATTGGTGAGCATGTTGAAGAGGACAAGCAGTTAATGGCCGACCTTGTTGTTTCCAAGATGAGCCAACTTCTGGTGCCAGGGGGCACGGTTCCCTCTCCCCTGAGACCTTGGGTAAGGTTCTCTTGAGAATAAAGGAGATTAGTGGCTCTGGAATGAAAACCCCCGGATCCAATAACTCCAGGCAGGCATCATGTAGAATGGGGGGGGGGAGACAGAGGCGTGCAGGGGCCCCTTCCCCTCTCCTATCCCTTAAGAAGAAAACTCCTATCCCACCAGCCTTTGGACAGACTGCTGACAGTGTTCATCTCAGTCCCCATCTTGAGCCCGAGATTTGGTATGTGCACCTGTGTGTGCAACAATACATGTACACATATGTCCTATGTTCCCAGGGCATGAGTCAATAGAGACTACTGGTGTCCTGCTTCCCCATCCCCCAGCCCAACAAGCTCCCACCCCTCCCCTGCATAGGCCCCACCAGGCCACTCTTCAAAGCTTGCTAACCTTCTGGAAAAGCAAGTTTCAACTCCTCCCCCAATCCCAATCCCTGTTTATCCCACAGAAACACATTCCTTCACAGACACAGGAACAGCAGTTAAACTCAAAGGGTTACTAGGAGGGTGTGGGTGCATGCAGCATCCTCCACGGCTATGCTGAAAATCTATCATGAGGTACAGTGAAGAATCATTCATTGTGAGTCTTACATCAGTGATATTTAAAACACACACACACACACACACACACACACACACACACACATCTTGCTTTAGGCCTTGACTCCTATCCAGAAATTTTGTCATCAAAGGCTTCTTTTCTCTTCTCTTGCTCTAGGGTCCACAAACTAAACTTGCAAAATCTCCAGGACAAGGCCAGCTGGGACCTCAACTAGGACAGCCCCAGCCAAGGCCACCTCTACAAGGTAAGACTCAGGACAGCCACTGAGAAACAGTGTATAGTAAGGACGTTGAAATGCCACAAAGGACTGGGAAGGTGGCTCCACAGGTAAGAGTGCTTGCTGTACAAACATGAGGACCTGAGTTCAAATCCCCAGCACTCACATAAATAAGCTGGGCATAACCAAACATTCATGTAACTCCAGCACTACAGGAATCGAGGAACAAGCAGCTCTTGGGAACTTGTTGGCCAGGTAGTCTAGCTGAAATGGAAGGCTCAAGTTCAATGACAGCTGCTAAAGCAGTGGTTCTCAACCTGTGGGTGGTGACCTCATTGGGAGTCACATATCAGTTATCCTGCATATCAGACAGTTACACTGCAATTCCTAACAGTAGAAAGATTACAGTTATAAAGCAGCAATGAAACCATTTTATGTGGGGGTGACCACAACATGAGTCACATGCATTAAAGAGTCACAGCATTAGGAAAGCTGAGAACCACTAGTCTACAGGGACTAAGGTAGGAAGCAATAGAGGAAGACACTCATTGTCCTCTGACCTCCACATACTATCCAAGGGTATGTGCAAACACACAGAACAATTAAATAATAACTAAATCAATGAAAATGTGTTGCTGAAGACAGCCTACAGCAGTGGGTCTCAACCTTACTAATGTTGCCACCCTTCAATACAGTTCCTCATGTTGCAGTGACCCCCCAACCATAAAATTATTTTTGTTGCTATTTAGTAACTGTAATTTTGCTACTGTTATGAATCATAATGTAAATGTGTATGTTTTCTGGTGGTCTTAGGCAACCCTGGTGAACTTGACAGTCCCAAGGGGTCTGACCCATGGGTTGAGAACTGCTGGTCTAGACCGTCTATCCTCATACTTTATCTTTGGGTTATGCACACTTTCTCCATCTACAGGAGGAGGAAGCTAGAAGGTCTGCTGTCCCCTTAAGGTCAGGGAAGGAGTTAGGAAGAGAGAACAATGGGACTGTCAGGTTTTTAAGATGCCAGGCCCTGTGCTAGGGCCATTCCCTTCTGGACTCATTTCCCATCCTCCCAGCCGCTTTGCAGAGGGAGCATCAGTGTCCCCCTTTTCCCAGGTAGGAAAATGAAGCTTTGCCCAGGAAGGCACAATCAGAAGATGGCAGGTTTACAAGCCTGGACTTTCAAGCCTTTTGGGAAATGTTATTTCTAGCCACTAGTGGTGTCTGAGTATACATTTGTGAGCCAACCAGAGTGAGAGGAGAAAAGGAAGAAGCCCAGAACATTATACCACAGCTGCTGACTTTCTTCCTCAAAATCATCAAAGCAGCTTGGCATGGAGATGCCCTCCTTGCAATCTCAACAGAAGGCATTTCCATCTTGTCCTGAACTTTCTAGACACATCTATTAAAGTGGAAGATTCCTTGCTTCTTAGAAGAAATGGTCCTGAGGCACCCGATGGTTTCCTCTTTCACAGCTCTAGGGGAAAGACCTCCCCTCCTCTTCCCTCCACTCCCCCATCCCTTTCAGCCATCTCTCTCCTTCCTTACTTTCCCCATAACTTCATTTACTTAACACAGCCCCCCTCAGATTAGCTTACTTTCTCATACAAATGCCTTTGAAATTGACTGTCCCCCAATATACTCCAAATGTATACACAATAATAAAATTATATTTAACTGTGGATTAAAAGTTACCTTATTTGTCAAAGTAGCAGCTAGATGGCATTTTAATTCTCAGTATCTGTATTTGATTAGTTTTCTCAGAATATAACAAACAAGGCATGATAAGTCCCAGAACAAAAGAAACTGAGGCAGGAGGATTGCTAGTCTAGACTACCAAGCGAGTTCATTGCCAGGCCATCCTGGGCTACAATGTGAGATCTTGTCTCAAAAGGGGGAGTGGGAGGCTCGGGAGACAGCTTCATGGGTAAGTGCATGCCTTCCAAGCATGAGAACATGACTCTGGTCTCTGGTACCCACATAAAAAGAAAAAACCTGGTGTTCCAGTATAATCCTCGAGTGGGAGAGACGATGATAGAGGGAATCTGAGGTTAGTTTGTCAACCAGCATACTTGGAAAGTTTCAGTCTCAAAAAAGAAAAAAGACAGAGGTTGACCTCTAATCTCCACATGTAGGTTCGGCCCTGTGCATACACACACACACACACACACACACACACACACACACACACTCATGGAGGTGGGAGACATATAATAACTTGTCTAAAACTGTGTTCATTCTAGAGACCAGAGTTAGCCTCCCCATTTATTTCTGAGTCTTTCTCCCAAAGGTTTGTTTTATTCTCTATAGTGACAAGTCACCACAGCTTGAATAACTCAGATCCCTTTACAATAAAGAACAGAGACAATGAGATTGATGACTACCTTATATGCCATCCTAGAGCCTTCCTCCAGCAGCTGATGGAAGCAGACACAGACACCCACAGCTAAACACTGATCTGAACTCTGGAATCCAGTTGTAGAGAGGGAGGAATGATGAGCAAAGGGGTCAAGACCAGGCTGGAGAAACCCACAGAAACAGCTGACCTGAACAAGGGGGAGCTCATGGTCCCCAGACTGATTGCTGGGAAACCAGCATAGGACTGTTCCAGATCCCCTGAAGGAAGAAATCAGTTTGGAGGTCTGGACAATCTATGGGGCCTCTGCTAGTAAATCAGTATTTACCCCTAGTACGCAAATGGACTTTAGGAGCCCATTCCACATAGATGGATACTCTCTCAGCCTAGACACACAGGGGAGGGGCTGGGCCCTGCTCCAAATGATATGACAGACTTTGAAGATTCCCCCATGGAAGGCCTCACCCTCCCTGGGGAGCAGAAAGGGGATGGAAAAGGGGGTCTGTAGGGGGCAGAAGAGGAGGAGAGGGGAGAGGGAACTGGGATTAACATGTAAAACAAGCTTGGGAAGAAATCAGTTTGGAGGTCTGGACAATCTATGGGGCCTCTGCTAGTAAATCAGTATTTACCCCTAGTACGCAAATGGACTTTAGGAGCCCATTCCACATAGATGGATACTCTCTCAGCCTAGACACACAGGGGAGGGTCTGGGCCCTGCTCCAAATGATCTGACAGACTTTGAAGATTCCCCCATGGAAGGCCTCACCCTCCCTGGGGAGCAGAAAGGGGATGGAAAAGGGGGTCTGTAGGGGGCAGAAGAGGAGGAGAGGGGAGAGGGAACTGGGATTAACATGTAAAACAAGCTTGTTTCTAATTTAAATAAAAAGGGGGGAAGAACAGAAACATTTTGTGGACAGTAACCTGCTAGTCACACACAGGTTTGTCCACCCATCTTTCTTACTGTGCTGGTTTTCTTCTTTTACCTGGGGAAAGCATGGAGTTTAACCAAGGGAGATGGCAGGTGTCAGCTTCCCATCACCAAATACCTTAACTAAACTCTAAAAGGAGAAAGGCTTTAATCCCAGCTCCTGTTTCAGAGGTCTAGTCACTTGGCCCTGTGTTTGGGACCTGTGATGACACAGTATTCACACAGTAGGGACATCACAGAGGAAGACTCGGGGAAACAGAGAGAAAGAAAGGAGTTAGGCCCCCATCTTCCTTTCAAGGGCATGTTCCCAATGACATAACTTCCTTTCATTAAGCCCCACCCTTCCACTTCATCACCAGAGTGGCACAAACAGGGATGAAGTCTCTAACACATAGAGCTCTGAGGGTCTTTAAGACAAAACTAAAGCAAGCCCTGAGTAATGAACATAGAGTTCTCCTGGCAGTTTATATGTGTGTTCAGTCCACTTCCATATCACCACCTTTCCACTTTAGGTAAGTGGTGACAGCCCTTCAAACCTCAATTTCCCTTACAGCTTCCATGATGAATAATGGGGACTTGTCTACAGGACAGTGCTGACTCTGTTAGAAAGAGGTCTGACAAAGAGTGGAACCTGGAGGGCTCAGTCTTCTATGCTAATAATTTACAATTAATGACAATTACACAGTGCTTACTATTTATACCTGCTGTCTTTCCAGCAATTCTAATTGACAGATTGCTTTTCATGGTTGTCAGTCACTACCCTCTGACACATGAAGCCCTTCTCCCCTCTGTCTGACAATAAAAATAGTTACAAATGCCCCACCTCCTTTTCTGTTCTTCCCAGGAAAGAAAGAACTTCTCTAAACTTTAAACTTCTGAATGGCATCTCTTTAAACATCAGAGAGCTAGTGTGTTCTAATTGCCTCTCCAGCCCAGAGGAGAAGCAGCTTGATAAAGAGATTTTAAGGAACATGTGGCCAAACTCCATTTGGATGAGTTGAAAAATAATCAATTCAAAACCAATTTAGGCAATTAAAGGAAATGCTCAGTGAATTAACAGACAGAAAATAACAAGGCTAACTTAAAAACATTTTCACCAATTTCTATAAATAACAGAATCACTTTATTAGCTTGTTTTTAACTCATTTTTCAAACTCAGTGAGTTTGAAGTTTTCTTTTAATAAACATCTTTTTAGGGTCAATGCTGTGCTTAGGAAAACATATGTTAATATATAATATACATAAATATATATGTGTATGATATATATTTTTGTATATACTCAAAAAATACTAAGTTGTTTGTTATGCCAAAGAGCTGTAAGAAACAACCAATGTATCTCCTGATGCAACTGACTGTCGAATCCATCCATCCATTTGAGTGTGAAGCTGGCCTGTTCTAATGAACAACTTTCCACTGTTTATTTACATGACTCTATACATTAATGCTCAAGTGAAAAACAAATACATACTATGTTATAAACTACTTTTTCTCTTTCTGTTTAGTGGTGTATACTTGGCACATAGTGTCAAAAGGTTGTTAATGCTACCCTGACATGACATGTGGCAATCAGCCCACACTCACGTATCTTGATGTTTTCTTATGGCTATTTTTGTTTTGACACAGGGTCTTATGTAGCCGCTTAAATTCTCTATATCATCAAGGATGACTTTGAACTCCTGATCTTCTTGCCTCTGCCTCTTGAATACTGGGATTACAGGCATTCACCACCATGCCTAACCATGCTAGGAATCAACTATAGGACTTCGTGCATGCTAAACAAGCACTCTACCAACTCAACTATGTCTCCTACCATCTAGCTCTTTCTTGATGTTCCTAACCACCTCGCTGAGATCTGACATCTATGTTGTTTTCAATTATAAAAAACATGTTTATATAAACTTGTGTGCTAAGTGCACAGCCACACTGATTCCCAAAACAAATTGAGATTTCTTTCTTTCTTTGGCTTGTAGGGGGCCCTCGTCAAGCTCAGTCTCCTCAGCCTCCCAGATCTCGAAGTCCATCCCAACAGAGGCTTTCCCCACAAGGCCAACAGCCTGTGAGCCCTCAATCTGGATCTCCACAGCAGCAAAGGTCACCAGGCTCTCCACAGCTAGCCCGGGCATCTGGTGGCAGTTCTCCAAACCAAGCCTCCAAGCCAAGTGCCAGCCTCAGCTCACATCCCCGGCCACCTGTACAGAGCCGCAGCACTTCCCAACAGGGTGAAGAGCCCCAGAAGTCAGCACCACCTCACCCGCACCTCAAGTAAGTGTTCAGAGTCTGAATGGGTATAGAGCAGAGTTAGAGTATGTCCAAAGATGAGCTGATTCAGGGTCAGGAACTAAGAGACAAAGAACCTAACAAACCCTTGCCTAGAATTCAAATGGGGGGATAGATCTATAGACCAGTATTTGTGTAGCAGGGACCAGCAATTTCAGAGTACAGATTGGGGCTAGAGAGATGGCTCAGCCGTTAAAGGCTAGGCTCACAAGCAAAAATATAAGAGAGTACAGATTAGACTCCATGTCCTCATTATCTCTGTATCAGTCGTCACTTGCTATGTAACAAACAAACCCAAATTTATGTGGCTGAAGAAAATCAGTTTCCTAGTTGTTCTAGCTTCCTGTTGCTGTGATAAAACACTCGACAAAAAGCAATTTTAGAGGAGCTAGACAGATAGCTCAGTAGTTAAGAGCACTCATTCTTCCAGGGGACCAGGGTTCAGTTCACAGCACCCACACCGTGGCTCACAACCATCTGTAACTCAATTTCCAGGAAATCCAATGCCCTCTTCTGGCCTCTGTGGGCTCTACATGCATGTAATACACAGAGGTACTTGCAGGTGAAGCACCCATGCACATAAAATACAAATAAAAATCTTTTAAAGACTTTTTCTAAACAACTTTTTCTAATCAAAGGGAGGGGAGGATTTGTCACAGCTTCCAGGTCATAATTCATCATTTCAAGGAATCAGGAAATGAACTCCAACTGGAACTTGAAGCAGAAACCAGGGGAAAATGCTGTTAGCTGACTTGCTCACTGACCCTTGCTTAGCCAGCCTTCTCATACAGCTAAAAGCTACCTGTCTAGGGAATGGTGCTACTTACAGTGGTTCAGCCCTTCTGCATCAATTATCAATCAAGGTAATCCTCACAGACATGCCCACAGGCCTCTCTGATCTGGACAACCCCTCAACCAAGACAGGGAGTCTAGAAAAGGGACTGCCTGATTTCTCAGGTAATGCTGGGAACTCTGTGAGAATAACTGGAGCCTGGCCCAACCCACTATGGCTGACAAATTACAGAGCCACCTGGGATGGGGACAAGAATGGAAGTAGTACATGCTCCCTACTTCTTGCTGGAAGGTCTATCCAAGACAAACACTTGCCTCTTGGAACCCAAATTTCTATGCCTAAAAGCAATACCTCACACCTTGCAAATTCTAGGCTAGCATCATATACACACTGTGATGTCTTATTTCTGGTCTCACCATCCTTTGATGACTGGGTTCAGCCAGTAGGCTTTAGGGCTGGCCCCAGACTCATTCCCTTGGGAGTCCAAGCCATGACCATCCCCAAACCCTTGCTTTGTTTCAGCAAATCTCAGTCCCTGACTAACAGCCTCAACACATCAGATGCTTCCCATCGAGGGACCCCAAGCGAAGATGAGGCCAAGGCTGAGACCATCCGCAACCTGAGGAAGTCCTTTGCCAGCCTCTTCTCCGACTAGCCCCTACCCAGGCTGGAGGGCAGGAAGACTCAGTGACTGGGGCCTTCCTGTGGTTCCCTCCTTCTCAGCTTTGGTTCCTGGTGGAAACATGCTTCCTAGATGCCTCTGACCCAGGAACTGATGATCTATATGTATTCCCACCTCCGTGACCATGACATTCCAATGCCCTCTGACTGAGCAGTAGCCTTGAGAGCCCCTGGGTTCCTCAACACGGGCCTTCTAGACAGACAAGGCATCACTACTCCCACCATATGCTTGCTCCCCTGCCACTGGTACCATGTAACATGTCTATATGGCTCTTTTTTTTTTTTTGCATTATTAGTGTTTTGCTTGCCTTTGAGGCCTTGACTCACCTCCATCAAATGCAGACATTATAGTCAGACCTCAGCAACACAAGAGGCAATACTTTTTAATGATGTTTTTGCAAACAAAAATAGGAAAGCCCAGCACAGGAGCCTACTACACACCTAAAGCAAGTTAGTGCTATTCTTGCTGGGAACAGGCTGAAAAGGCCCCATCACAGCTGGACCTTATAGGGACCTTGATGCCAAAAAAAAAAAAAAAGAAGAAGAAGAGGAGGAAGAAGCTAGACCTTATGCAAAAAGTGGGCCTTTCAGAACTGAACAGGAAACCCATATAATGCTATCCAGGCCTAGAGCCAACAACAGGAATCCCCCCCTGTGGAGAGGGTCACTGAATTGTGCCTCTCTGGCCTCACTCAGAATCTGTTTTTTTCTCCTTAAGGTTAGATGGAACTCCAGAGAGGGTGGAGAGCTCTGTGGCAGGATAAGGAGACACAGTAATAGACTATGGTTCAGCATTCTACCTGAACAAGGTGTCAATAGGTCACCACATTTACAAAAGGTCTCCTGGTGGGACAGCCTTCGGAAACAGTGCCTGTGCTTCTTTTTAGGAGACACAGAATACAGGACACACGTTGAAGCCTTTTGGAATTTCTTCTAGTAAAAGTTCCACTGCAACATTTTTCCAGGCATTATGA